AAAGTGATTAATTACCCGCCTGGCACTTAGTTAAGAGGTTTTATTCCCTACCTAACTTCAGGGGAAAATCCCTACCTGGGGAAACAACCTTTCTCGTAGAGGTGACCTTTGTTAAAACACATAGTACCAAGAAGGTGAGCAAACATATTAAGAACAGTATGCCATATATGCCAGGTCCCTTGAAACAGCAAGGATGGACCGGCTCCCGGCAATCATAGATGCAAAAAATTAAAAAAAAAATACCCAACATGATTGACATAAGAAGTAAAACTGAATATGGAGAAATAAAATTGATGGTTTTGATTTTTTTATCTTTTGAAGGTTTGTGCTTCTAGACTTGACCCAGATTATTTTATTTCATCTGTCTTTGAAAGGTAAGCATACTTTTATAAGACAGGTATTAGGAAGTATTTGAAATTTAAGTTAATTTTGTTTTAACATTCAAAAAATTTGTCTCAAATATTTCTCATAGATTTAAGGTAGTGGATTTGTTGACAATGGCGTCGCAACATCAAAACACAGTGCTTGATGCAGAGCATGAGAGGTCGATGTTAGAAGGCGCTCTTACATTTCTTGTGATTCTTTTGAGTCTTCGTTTACATTTAGGTAAAAAGCAGTGATACTAATACTTGGGTATTAAATACTATTTTCTTCCGTTTCCTCTCCCACCCAGTGTTAATAACTGGCTTATGGAAAAAAAAGGAAAGGATGTGCACATATTTAAACAGTGTTTCAAACTTAATATGTTAAAACCCTTCATTTAAGGGAACTGCAAACAGCAGGTAGTTAAAATGCAGTTATATTTGGGGCATTGTATTCTTTGCTCTTTAATTTTTAAAGCATCTTATTTTTGGTAAACAGCTTAATAAAATGTGTGATAAGTTGTTTCTTTATAATTTGTTAATTCATATTTATTAATTCTGTTTTTAATTATTTTAGGAATGTCTGATGATGAGATTCTTAGGGCAGAGATGGTAGCCCAGCTGTGTATGAATGACAGGACACATAGTTCATTGCTGGACCTCATATCCTTTTAAAAGTTTAATTTACTAATAGTTGCAGGATCTAAATAATAAGTAATTTTTATAGATTAAAGATATATCACTTTTTTGACTAAACTTTTTTTGAATTTGAAAATAGTATGGAAAAAAGTGTTTGTTCCATTGTGTCTTCAGGGCTAGTGGCAGATGTTTTGGCCTCTAATTGTCACCTCTCAGGAAGCTCTTTTTTGTTTTTTAATGTATTTTTTATTGATATCAGAGAGGAAGAGAGAGGGAGAAAGAATCATGAAAGAGCAAGAAACATCAGTCATAAGAGGGTATCATTGATTGACTGCCTCGTGCACGCTCCCTACTGGGGCTCGAGCCTGCAACCTGGGCATGTGCCCTTGACCAGAATTGAACCTGGGACCCTTCAATCTGCAGGCTGATGCTCTATCCACTGAGCGAAACCGGCTAGGGCTCTCAGTGAGCTCTTGTTAGGCCTCCGTTAGACCTCAGGACTGATGGCTCTGGGCACCCAAGGATATGTATGACCTTCTAGGACAGTATTTGTGAAAGAAGGCTGGACACCTTGTAAAAGGCAGCGAGTACTTTATCATATAGCCTGGCTGGAATTCTGGTTAAAGTTTAGAGGTTTGCCTTATAATTATTATTACCAGGGTTTTAAACATTCTGAGGACTTTTTCTTTGAGTTTACTATTAAACCAAGAGGTTTTTAAGGGCAAGGACTATCGTCTACAACTTTGAAAACTTATGGTTCCTTGTATAGGACTGAGCATACATGGATATGTTATTTTTTGTTATTGTTATAAAATCTTAGACCAAGATCATCATGTTATTTTGTGATAAATATTTTTTCTTGTAAATTTTTGACTAAATTACTTTGTATATTGTGAATATGTTTGGAATAATTTGCTACAATTGTGTGAAATGACTCCTATTGGAATTCCTGTTTGATAACTTTGAAGATTTTCATAAGCAGCATCCTGTTGTTGTTTTAGAATTTTTAAAAACAATTATATACTGTGTATCAGTGCTGTAACAGAGCAAAAGCATGTTAGAAATTTTGAATTTAAAAGAATTGTACACTTCAGTGTGAAACCAGTGGGAAAGA